TAACTATATTATTTCACGGTGTCTGACGTACAATCCCGTGCAATAACCAAATGAAAAAAAGCACGGGTTGTTACATACGACCCGTGGAATAATGACTTTTATTTGGACTAGTTTCGAACTGGCCCTAAAAAGTCCGGTCCAGACCCGGTCCTTTGTGGGCTACTTAACATCCCTATTCAGAAAATCAGTCTATATATTCGAATAACGCCTATGGGTGTACGCATAGGTATTCAAAATAGCGCGCAGATGCCCATTATTTCAAGAATTTACGATAAGAGGTTCAGTTGAGCAAAAACGATAAAAAAAAAAACAATTACCGGCAGAGAGTGGATAGTCGCCCCCAATTCCTATACCCAAGACAATACGCCAAAATATAATTCCGGTAAACATGCTAATGGAAAAGGAATCTGCGGCGAGAGCTAAAGTTTTGTTATATTTAGACTTTATTATTCAAAATATATATATATATTTAAATGAAGCAGTTTGCTTGAAGTATTTCTCACCTGTCCCTGCAGTGGCAGCAATCATAATCGAGAGTTCAATTCCGTACACCTAACATAGACAGATAACTTCTAGTTTGGTGATATTCATATGTCAATAGGTTAGAAAATTCAAATTTACTTTTTGACGACCATATTTATCAGCCATCCATCCGAACAATATCTGTCCAATAACATTTCCTATGGCAGCCGAAGTCTTAATTCCGGTATCCAGATTTGTGGGAACGTAATTATTTGTCTTATCCTCAGCAGAAAAGTAGGCATACCCAAGTATGCCTGAAACAAGATTAATAACGAATAGATCGTAGGCCGAAGTAAAAAATCCTAAACCTGAAATCACACAGGCTCGATAATGGACCAACTTAATTGTTGAGTCGTCAAGCTTTGATAGAGCATCACGACGTTTTGTGTCTAATTCAACTAACTTGTCTTGTGTTTTTTTGGCAAATTCAACAGCGCCAGACATTATTTACTTTTGAATTTAATGAAAGTGATTTATTATTTTTTAGTATATATCTAAAATTCTTTAATGAAGGTATGAATTGGGAATTTCGTTATAGTTTGATAATTTTTCAGTATCTAAGGTTCTTTAATGAAGGTATGGATTGGGAATTTCGTTATAGTTATAAAGTTTTTCAGTATCTAAGGTTCTCAAGTTTCCATTAAAAAGCATTCTAAATCCTTAAAGAAAGATAATAATTAAAAAAAAAAAAAAAAAAAAAAAAAAAAAAAAAAAAAAAAAAAAAAAAATAAAAAAA